TATATATATATATACACACACACACACACACACACACACACACACACACACACACACACTACTGCTTTATTTCACTCAACATAATGCTTTTGAGGCCATCCATGCTGTAGCGTTTTCAAAACTTCTTTTCTCTTTAGAGATAACAAACATTCCATTATTTGTGTCTTCCACATTTTATTATGCATTCACCTGTTGATGGGCACTTGGCTTATTGCTCTCATTTTAACTGTTGTAAAGGGTGTTGCAATGAATACTGTGCACATGTATCTGTTTGCATTAAAGCAAGGACTCTATATTAATCACATTCTATGAACATAGTTATAGATTGAATTGTGTATGTCCTCAAAATGTGTTGTAAATCCTAAATACATAAGGAGAGGGAGCTCTGGTGGCTCCATGGTAAGAAGCTATGCTGGAACCCAAAGTTTCCTGGGGAGAAATCTTGATGACCTCCTCCTGTGCAACTTACAGCGTCATAAGATTCACTCAAGTGTCAGCTATAGGTTCTAACTGCATAGCACGTAACAACAACATACTATGGATGAAATCCCAATTGAGAACAGAGTTTCCTTGTTATGTGAACACAGCAGATTAGCACGGAGAAGCAAGAATAAACAAAGAAGAAAATACACAGCACATGAAGTTTGCATGGAGCCCATGAGAAGGCAAATTCTTCCCCCTGCTCTGGCACACTGGCTTACCACTGACTTCTGTAGCTAAACTATGAGAAAAGGAATTTCTGTTCCCTGAACTCTCTCACTTGTCTGTCATATTTCTGTTACCGCAGCACTGGGTAGGTCAGACAAACAGCTTTGAAATATCCAAGTGGTTCTTCTATTGGTGTGCTTAGCCTAAGACTGGCCCTGACGCCTGTTTGGGCCTCTGTGATCTGACTCCACCATTCATCCAACAGGAAAGGTGACAGCCTGGTGACTGGTGTGGCTGGCACAGTAAGAGACTCCTGCTTTTCCTGTCACATTCTATCACCTGTCCCCAAAACACCTCACTCCCATAGTTTGACATTTCCCAGAATAGCAGTTAGCTCCTGCTTCTCCAACCTGCGGACCTATATGTCTAGAGCTGCCTCTACTTCCGCCTTCTGACTCACTTCCACAAATGGACCACTGCTCTCTGATCTAGTGCTGCAAATTTCTCCCAAGGACATCCCAAATTTTCATATAGAAAGCCAGCTAACTCTCATTTAACTAACTCTACACCGTGCTTCTTTCCAGAGTCCCAGTTGCTTCTCCTCATTCCTCAGATTAACTCCATCAGGAAGTCACTTGCTTTAATACACTTCTACAGTGTGCTTATTAGCACCTTGTAATGCAGCCACCTAAATAATTAAGACTAACCCATACGTGTCAAATTAAATGAGCCAAATACATTGAGAAATTGACTCATCTTTAATTTCTTTTAGTAATCAGGTTTTATGTAAAATAAAACCTTCTTTTCAAGCTCACTTGCAAATACATGTGGTCAGTGAGACTCTTATAATACCTGTTGGAATATGTGTCCTCTTTCCTCAGGCAATTGCCCTGGGGGACAGCCTGTTCTGTGATGTGGAATGGGTTTAATTGGAATGGCAGAGCCAGCCAACATAGAAAAGCCCAGTCCAACAAGTTGTATACACTCTTAGTCTTTAGCACTGTGCCCCCTCACCTCCTGAGAGGTCAGAACACTGACCAGGAAGACCAACCTGATCAGCAGCCCCATCCATCCAGCACCTCTCCCTCCCCCTCCTCAATCCTCCCCTCCTCCTTGGGGCGCATGCTAGGAACCCAAGTTCCTTTTCTCATTATGAGCTACTGCTGATGTGCCCCAGATGAGCATATGTGCCCCAGATGAGCATAAGAAATGTAAGGGAAAGATAATGGGACTCGTCAGTAATTGTCATTCTGATGAGGAGCAATTCGCTCACAATTACAATGGATTGTTTAACTGTTTCTGTTGTCAGCATGTTGAGGTTTCAGTACCATCTCTGGGGTGAGGCTATTGTTGGCTAGAGCTCAGCGTCTGCTCAAAGCTTGTACTTCAGCCCCTCCCCCTCCTAGCATGCTGCATTGCTGCCTCTTGGAGGTGGTTGTTAGAAAGGATCCACAAATATACTAAGTAAACATCAAAGGGGCTTTGATCCGCAGGCCCTCAACAGAGCAATTGCCCCTGAAGAAAGGGCCAAGGCCTTGGATGAGGGAACTTAACATCACCAATTTGGGTGCCTGAGATGTAAGGCTGTTTGAAGTGAGGGCAGTCTGGCCTATGCCTTCAGACACAAGAGCGTGGAAGGAAAGGAAAGGGGGTGAGTGCCTTAGGAAAAGGCAAGCTTAGATCTGCTGCTCTGCTTTTTACTGATAGTCAATAAACCCCTTTAAAGAATCAAGAGATCAAAGCTAGCCACCTCCTTGGGACCTGGCATTCTGCAACCCCAGCCACGCTTTGTTTTTCTCTAGGGCACGAGCCCCCAAGCTTGCCTTATCTCTCTCTCATGAGCCTTGGGTTCCCTTTTATCCTAATTCCCATGGTGGGTGAATGTTGGCTTCAGGAAGTAGGTGGGGAGGTAGGAGCTAGGAGACATCTTCCAAGCAGACTTGCTGGGGCTCAGGACAGCACTCGGTTCTGTGCGCTGGTCCAAGAGAATTCTCTTCTTGAGCACCTGCTGGCTAGGTGCTCAGAAACCCAGGGAAGGCTAAGGGACTTGGAGGAGCTGTAGTCAAAGCCCCCTTCCTGAAATTACACTTACCTGATTTATAACTGCAGTGATTTTTTATGACTTGTGAGTACAGGCTCAGGGTGGGTGTCTAAGATATTTCATGGCAAGTCATTTACAAGTTTTGAATCTCAATTCTAAATAAATGTGAATTTCAACCTGACCTGCCTACCTCACGCTGTAAGAATCAAAATAAAAATTTGGTGCAGACCTGCTTTCAAGCAAATAAAATGCTGGCGAGATCAGGATCAAAGAAGAAACCCAGAGACAAAAGCTTGCCTTCTCCTGAGGCAAATGAAGCCAGCACTCTGGCAAAAGGAAGCAGATTCTCCGATTCTCCTAATGAAAGAGTCTGGCTGCTAACCAAAAGGCAGTTGGTTTCAATCCACGAACTGCTCCCAGCCTGTGGGGCTGCTCTCTGTCTCTGCACCCCAACATGACAGTCACTGAGTCAGCATCAACTTGATGATATGGGGCTGCGTTCTGTCCATGGCATGGGGGTCATTGAGTCAGCATAGACTTCATGGTACAGGACTGCGCTTGGTCCCTGGGCATGGGGGTCACTGGATCAGCATCGATGCGATGGTACAGGGCTGTGCTCTGTCCGTGGGCCCCAGCACAGAGGTCACTGAGTCAGCATCGATTTGATGGTAGCAGGTTTTGGTTTGTTTCTTGGAATAGTGCAAAGAAGCTCAGGAGCCCTGGTAGCACAGTAGTTCAAGCGGTTGTGTACTTAGCAAAATATCGGCCACTCAGTTGCCACATTATCACCTGAATCTGCACTTAGTTGTTGCTTGGTGATGATGGTGTACCGTGCCCAGTGGTCACTCAATAGAAGGTGCAGTAACCACCAACTCTGCCAGAGTCTTCCTCATGCCATGTTCATACCATCCTTGCTCATATTTGTTCTCTGCCCCCACTCACTCCAATTAAGCCTGTTCCCATGATCATTTCTCATCCGGATCATTCTACTTTTCTCCTAAAAGATGATGGATGGTGTCCCTCCCAAACTTGAATTTATCTCCTTCTCAGCCATCTCCCTCACCTCCTATGTGGTTGGGCTACTCCATCCTAGAGGCCACTGGCTCAAGTCTGCCTCTCTGACTACAGTCCTGGGATGATTTAGGCATGGATCCCAAGACTAGGACATAAAGGGTCTCAATATCTCATGGAGTAATGGTCATGAGTGTGAGCTTGAGAACCAGACTCCAACCTGGAAACTCCTGGCTCTGTCACCTACTAGTGCTTTCACTAGGGCTGTGGACTATGACATGTGTAAATGAGAGTAACAGGAAATGATGATAACAATGGTATGTGCCTCATAGGGTTGTTACAAGGATCAAATGAGGATTACTGGCTTAAAGTTTTATCTGGAACAGTACACAGTATGTAAATATTGGCTAAATAAATAAATTGTACCAATAAGCTACTTCTTGGAAGCAAGGATTCTGATATACTTTGGATATGTTGTAAGGAGGGACAGGTCCTTGGAGAGGGACATCATTCTTGGGAGGGTGGAGGGACAGCACAGGAGGGGAAAGCCCTCTGTGAGATGGATTGATTCAGTGACTGGGGTAATCGGGATGGGTGTGTCAGAGGCAGTGCAATTGGCACAGAATAGAGCAGGGTTTACAGCTATTGTACATAGAGTTGCTGTGAATTGCAAGTGGCTCGACGACACATAACAACAACATCTATAAGAGCAACAAGTTCCACTTCTCCTGCACTTCTTTTATCCCTTCCCAACTCATACGCCTGTGTTTTCATTCCAGAGCTGGGCTTCCCGAAGAAAGGATGCTGTCTGGTGCTGGGCTACATGGCCAAGGACAAATTCCGGAGGATAAATGAAGGTCAGTGGAACCTCTGATCTCTTAAGGTTCTGAGAGAGAAACCATGGGCATCTCAAAAAGGACATGGGAAAGATCAGTGGATTGAATAAAACTATTTGTACTATAGGGGCCTCTGGTAGTCTACTGGTAAGGAATTCCATTGTCAAGTCAGAGGCATGCAGCTCTAATCTATCAGCTGCTCCAAGGAAGAAGGATGAGCAATCTCCTCCAATGCAATGTATTGCCTCTGAAAGCCCACTGGACAGTCAGCTATGAGTCATCCTGACTCTACAGTGCACACAACATTTATACAGTGGAGGGAACTCTGCTGGCATAGAAGGTAGGGAGTTGTGCTGAGGTGGCACCTCTCTGGCAATTCAAATCCACCTCAGGAGAAAAACAGTCCATCTCTTCCAGTGTGCTTTACAGCATCAGAAATCCTGCTGGACAATCAGCTATACCATGGTTCTGACTCCACAGGGATGAGTTATTTTGGGTTTGGGTTTTTTTTCAATATGGAGCCCCTTAGTGGTGCAAATGGTTAGTATAGATGCAAACCAAAAAGGGAGAGATTTCAGACCACTCAGAGGGACTTCCAAAGACTTAGCAATCTGTTAAAGAAAATAACGTAAGCCTTGGTAAAGCACAGTTGTGTTCCAACACAGATAGGATTGCCATGGATTCTAAACAATTCCATGGCATCTGGTTATACTTCCACAGAACTAAGGGAGGAGTAGCTGGTGCCTGAACCAGTGACACTGATTCATGAGCATCCTTGCTCCCTCACTTCCCTGCTTTTCCCTCTCTCTCTCCTTCCTTTTGCTCTTCCCTCCCACCAAGTCCAATTAATCTATTCCTATTATCCATTCTCATCCAGCCTTCTTTACCTTTCTCTTCACACATTCTTTTTATGCTCAGAAACGTATGCTTGAAATCCTGTCCCCTTTCAGTTCCACCAGCTCTTCCTCTTCCTCTTCCTCATGGTCCTTTCTGCCTTCTTAAGCCCCGAATCTTTCCTCAGAGGACTGACTGGGTCACAGAGGCCTCAGGAAGTTGTTGGCATTTGTGTGGAAGCTGGGATCTGAAGGGACGCTGCCACATGTGGACCTGCTGTAATAAAGAACCAATCCCTCCATCCCTAGCCATCTGTTTCCATGCAACTAATAACCCTCTCTATCAGATACCACAGACTGTTTGTCAAGATTCAAAAGTAGATAAACAATGACTGGAATGCCATTTACTCATTAAAACCAGACAAATGAGGCCTTGGCTTCTCACCAGTTCAGCATACTATGAGATGAGCCCCTTCCCTCCCAAGGCCCAGGACCCCATTTCAGGATGGGAAGCAGCAGCTTACGTCTACCCTCTCTGATCAGAGGTAGGTGATTGTGTCACTGCTGTGCCCTCTCTCCTCCCAGCACACAGTCTGTAAATGGGCCTCGTGAACCTCCCCAGCATCCATCATGCTGACAGTGTGAAGAGTTATACCAACATGGTGAAGCATAAGGAATGATCAGCTCTCCTATTAGCCACTTGTCTGTGTAAGAAGACAGCAGCATCAAGAAGCTACTTCTGTCTGTAGGAGCCTAGTAGCTGCAGAGGGGGTGAGGGGGTAGATACGGGTAGGAGGGCTACATTTCTGATATTCTGCCAGTCAACTTCCCTCACTGACTTCTCTTCCTCATCCTACCCCTGCCTTCCTTGCACTGCTTGACACAAGAGTGCTGGGCCTCTCATCTGCTTTACGAGGAAATATCATTGAGTCTCTGTCCAAGGTGCTGAATAGTCTTGTTCTCTTGCGCACGATGCCCCTTGTTGTTGTTGCTGTCGTTGTTGTTGTTATGTGCCATCAAGTCGACTGTGACCCTTTGAACAGTAGCTCTAAGCCATGCTCTATTTATCCTGTCTCCAACACACCTACCTCCATTCCTCCGGTGTGATTCTATCTCATTCAGGATCTTCCTCTCCTCTCTGTCTCTCCACCCTTCTAAGCATGATAACCTACTACAAGGATTGATCTCTCCTGGAAACAGGTCACAATATGTGAGACTGAGTTTTAAAATCCTTGCTTTCAAGGAGCAAAAGTGTTTCACTTATTTGTTCCCTCATAGTCCATAGTATACTTAATACTCTTCTTCAGTACCACAAATTAAAAGCATCAATTCTTCTTTTGTCATCTTTAGTTGATTGTCCAGCTCTTTAATGTATAGCAAGTAATTGTGAAGACCATGGCCTGAATCAGGCGCACCTTAATCTCCAGACTTATATTGTTGCTCTTCAGCACTCTGGAGAGGTCCCTGACCACAGACTTTCCCAATACAACTTGTCTTTGGATTCCCTAACTACTAGAATCAAGAGTGTTGATTGTGGATCCCAGAAAGACTAATGATCTCAAACTCTTCTCCATCTATCATGATGAGGCCAATTGACCCGGTGTGAGAATCTTTGTTTTCTTAGTACTGAGATACAATCTATATTGAAGACTGCAGTCCTTGACATTCTGCAGCAAATGCTTCAGGGCCTCCTCAGTTTTGACAAGCAAGGTTATGTCATCTTTATAATGCAGGTTGTTGATGAGTCTACCTCCAATCCTGATGTAACATTTCTCTCATAAAGCCCAGCCTCCTTGAATGATCTGTTCCATGTATAGAATGAAAAGGTAGAAGACAGGCCTCATTCATGACACACTCCTTTCTTGATTTTTGAACCATGTAGTGTGTCCTTGCTCTGGTCAGATGACTGCTTGCTGGTGTCAGTATGGGTTTCACATTAGCACAATCAAGTGCTCTGGGATTCTCATTCTTCTCAATATTAGCCACAATTTGTTGTGATCCACACAGTCAAATGCCTTTGCATAGTTAATAAAACACAAATAGAATTCTTCTGGTACACTCTACTTTCAGCCAAAATCCATCTGACATAGGCAGGTATGTCCCTAATGTTATAGCTTGTATTTCTGGCATATCTGTGTTAATATACCATTCCAGTAATTTTTGGATAATCTTCAGTAGAATTTTGCTTGCATGTGATATTGTTTGATAACTTTCACACTCTGTCAGGTCATCTTTTTTTTGGGATAGGAATAAATATGGCTCTTTTCCAGTCAGTTGGCCAGGAAGCTGTCCTTTAAATTTCTTGGAACAACTGGTGAGCATGTACAGGGCTGCATCTGTTTGTTGGAATATTAATTGGGAGTGCATTCGAGAAGCTATAAGAAAGCCTATAAATTAAGGGACAAAAGGTCCAGAGCTGGACTGGATTTGAAACCCCAAGTTCTGTTTATCTAACTTCAGAAGGATACTGGGAAACAACTCAGCTAAGAAGACAGACTTATAGTTTTCCTCCTTCTCAAAATGAGAAGCTGTCAACATAATGTCCATTCTTTCTGTGTCTCCTTTCCAAACACATACAGTTGACATACACAGGTCATTCCTTCCCACTGATTAAGATGACTTCTTACTAAATTGAGGGAGCTTGGTGGTGCCATCCATAGTGAGTTGAACCCAAAGGTGGTTCTAATTTTTAAAAAGGTGGTTCTAATCCACCAGCAGCTTCTTGGGAGAAAAACCCTCCCGTGTGATGTACAGCCTCCTCAAAAGTCACAAGGCATGAGCTATGAGTCAGTTCCCACTCTACGGCAATGAGTGTAGTTTTAGTATAAGAATGATAAATAAAAGGTTGCCAATTCCATTCTACTACTTTTTGCAATGAAGTCTAACTGAGAATGGAGCATGGTGTTTAGAGATAGGGAGACAACAGAGGTACCAACAATGTTCAAGGAACTCTCCTTCTCAAATGCCCCAAGGTGCACAGTCATGCACACAGTCACACACATAACACACACACACATATACAGATGCACACAGAGTAACTGTCGCTTGGTCTAGCTGAGCAAGGAGAAAGAAGTTGTAAACAAGCTAAGCCACTATGTGTGATGTGTTACAAATCTCAACTGAGAGGAAATTGGACAAGAGAAAAGTGAGGTAAGACAGTGAGGTAGAAGAAGAGGCTCTTAAAAGCAAATTGATGTTTTGGTTCAGGGGAAGTCAAAGTATGGATCAAGAAGAAGTAGAAGCCAATGGGCAAAAGACACCAAATTCCACTGGAGCCTGCCTCAGTTCTCAAGTTTCACATCACACTATGCTTTCTCTTTCTAAAGCTCAAATACGTCTGTCAATGAGAAAAGGCATCAGGAAGCACGAGGAATTGTTTTATGCCTTCTAATTACCTTGCACCAATATTCAATATAATTATAGCTCCCACATATTAATAATTGAACTGAAATAGCAACCACAACATATATCAAGAAACAGGCTACACAGGACACCATGGTATAAACAGAACAATAGGTAAAGTAATAAAAATAGTTTTTTTCTCCAAGAGGCTGGAATTAGTGAGGTATTGAAACAATTAGATTCTTCTTCCATTAACAATAAGGTAATGATCATATTTCCAATTTAGAATAAGTATAAAAGACGTATTTGTGCTATACAAAAGAGTACTTGTTCTGCTTAACAGTATCTTGTATGGTGTCTGTAACCAGGGGTGAAGTGATCCATTATTTCATTTGTTTCCCTGTTAATTTGGTATCATTTTATCTTCCTCCCCCATCCCTGTCCTTGCTACCTCCTAAAAAAATAACAGTTGGAAAAGAAGAAAGAGGAAAATAATGAATGAGCAGCATCTTTATAGATCTGGGATTTATCATAAGCTGGAATAATCGCAACTGGTGCCATTAAACTACACAAAGCAATAAAAAGAAAAAGCTATTCAAAGATCGTTTAAGTAGGCATGTGATAGTCAATGAGAGTTTGCTGTATTTGGGAGCCCTTAAGAGCTTCTTGGATAGAATCTGCAGCATTTGCAGGAAGAG